GGGGGCATAGGGCCATGTTCACAGGTATATGAGAAATAAGAACTATTAGAAATAGCATGGACACGAAAGACCCATTATGTCGTTCGAGGGTTAAATGTTTTCACTAACTAATGTGGGGGTATAAACCTTTTTTTTTATTTATTTTCCCTTTTATGAAATTTATAAATTAATGAAGCCACCTGGGGGCGGTTAGATGTTGGTGCCTAAAAGCGGCAAAATATTTAATCCGTCACTGGAAAAGGCTATTTTAAAATTGCTATTTCGAAAACAAAAGGTCAAACCGAAACAAAACAAAATGCATTTTAAAATTAAAAGTTAATAAAATTTAAAAAAAATTTGCTGCTACAAAGTCATCCGCAAAATCATAATTTTTCTTCTTCAATATTATTTTTCTTAAAATTTCGACGTGATAATCGATTAATAAATATGCGTTCTTAGCAGATAAAAAAATACATGGGAAATGATTTATATTTATATATTTGTATTGCAAAAATATGATTAAATTTTTTCAGACAGTGTTATTTGTCGGGTTAGTTGTGAGCTTTCTATGGTACGTTACTATAGCATACTACTATATTAAGCATGCTTGATTATGGAGCTGTCAACATCTACAAAAAAAAAGCTAAACTAATTTAGTTCGGAGTACACTCTGAGAAAGTTCTTTATATTCTTTGCGAACAGTACTGTAGAGAATAGAAAGTTCCATAGTTTATCTTAAAAAATATGCTGTTTGTTTGATAGAGTTAATGGCGTGATGTCACAGGACGATAATTCGAACGAAGATATCTTTCACTAAAGGCACTTCTTTTAGGATCATCTTTCGTATCATTGTTGGGCCTAATGCATGATTAGGGGCGATACTGTGAGGTTACAAAATGTACTTGCCATCTCAAGGAACACACTAACAAGAAGTTAAGAGAAATTCAAAATAATGATTTTTTTACTACAAAATTTGCCAGTTCATTAACTTTAAGTATTAAAATAGTCATTTTAACGTCATTTTAATTTTTTGTTGCTTTTATGTTTTCCTTTTGGAATGTATTTTGCTATGAGAGCGTTTTTAAAATTACGATCAATTCGGAATTTACTTCAATCTAGACTAGATAGATAGTCATAATAAGAAACAGCAGATAATTATGATTATCATCCTAATAGACCCGGATAGGAAATTATACATGTCAAAAGACAAATATCGAAGATATTTTTTACAATGCAGCAAAAATATAGTAAAATGAACATTCGAACGATTTTTTACATATCTTATTTTAATATGCACTACATCAATTATTTTCATTATGTTTATTCTTTTTGCTACAGTATACACGATACTGGTAAGCATCCCAAGAAACACACCAAGTCAAGAGAAAGTCAAAATTACTTTATTTTGACATCAAAATGATAATTTTTTGTTACAAAATGACTATTTATTGATGATAAATCAAAATGAAATCATTTTGATTCAATAAACAGTCAAATTTTGTAACAAAAAAATCATCGTTTTGACTTTCATGATGTCAAAGTAAAGTTATTTCGATATTCTCTTAATTTTGTGTTTTTTGGGTTGGAAGGTAAAGGTGAATATTAAATGTGACTTTAATATTCACATTTAATATTTACGTCCCAACGAATCTTGGCAACATTCAGTCATATACGTGATGACGCATGAATTGATTTACGCGCGCGCGCGTTTCTAACAATAAGTAAGTTTTGTATATTATACATATATAAAATCTTATAATTAAATTCAAATTAAAGTATTCTAACAATAGCAATTATATCTTTAAAACATGTTTTTTGTATTTATTTTTATTGTAAAATTATAAGACAACAATCAGCAATGCAATACAGGATTATAAAGAAAATTTAATATTTACGTGATATGTATGTATGAAGAAAAGACACTCTTTACATATAATTGTTAAAACTAACTATGCTAATAATATAAAAATTGAGGGGATGGGCGGAATAAAGGCACAATTTTACTTAGGCCCTTTTTCCGGCAATTAGCTTTTTCATGTATTATTGACAATAAAAGAAATTTTATTGTAAACTAAATTTTATTGTAAACTAAATTTTACAATAATACTAATTTCCATAATATATATGTTAATGGATTGAATAATTATTTTACTATATCATAATTGTACCTTGTAACATAGTCCAGCCAATAGACGAGTCTGTTGGAGAATGGATTTAGTCCGTAGCGTATCGCTACGAAAGCCTTTCGTGCATTTTCATGGTAATGCGTTTATTATAAACTTTAATACCTGAAAAATGTAATAAAAATCCATAAAGCAATTGTTTTTTATTTAATGCAATTGGTGAAATTTATAGGAAAGAGAAAACATATCTGAAATGCCACAACATTAGCCTCCTGGAGGCTTGCTGCATAATATTTACGCTTTCTCTCACTTCGCGCAAAGATCCATATACCTATCCTATTGTCACCGTTTTTTTTCCACGGAGATATGGAATAAGAATACTAAAGTTACTTATTTAAAACTTCAGACAATTCAGAGATTATTTCGTCTTTACGTCAAATTTAGTTGTACGCGGACGTAAGGTTTAGGATACGGTCAACTACGCAATGCTACAAATGCTTTGAAGCGTTTTTAATTGGTCGGTTTGTAAAATTCTTTCTTCTAACTGGTCCATCAAACGCTTCAAAACATTTGTAGCGAGACTTTGACCACAGCCTTAGTCGTGTCGTTAATCGCTCACCAACTATAAGAATTAATGTAGAAAGGTGATTACTTCCCAATTTGAAAAATTACTGAAGGAAAGAATCAAAGACTTTGGATGTACAAGGTTAAGTTGGCAACGAGATTGGAATTTGTTGCTTTCGTAATTCTTATTGGCACAATTATTAAATTGGCACAATCAATCAAAAAATTGGAAAAAATAAGGGCGTTAGAAGTTAGGCGTAGAAGACATCGCGCAAATGATACACCTGAGAAGCTTGAAACTTCTTTATTCAATAAAAGTGCTTACATGTTTCGGCTCACTTTTGAGTCCCCAGAGCAAACATAAACTAAAACTTATCCTGGTGAGCTCCCCTACATCGAGAATTTAAATGCCAGAATTAAACAAAAAAGAAAGAAAAGGAAAATTAAGAAGAAGGGAAATATAAAAAATGTCGAATTAGAGAATATGGAAACTAATTTATCGAAAAACTTTAAGAATATAATTAATTATCCAGAAAAAGTTGATTAACCCTTACCATACTAATATGGGTAACTAGTGACTGAGCAATTCCTGTTCGTGCAAGTTTCTTTGAGTCTTTCGGTAATTATAAATTATACTACATTTTATTATTTTCCAAAATAAAGAGTCAATATTTATTCTAGAAAGTTGAAAGTATGTTGGTGAATTTTTAGAGATTTTTTGAATTATTTTGAAGAGGTGAAAAAACGAAAAGATTCTAGCGACCCTTAATAGTATGGATGAGGCACCAAATTGTACATAATAAGGAAAGGATAAACTATATATGAAAAGTTGCGTGTCTGTAACTCGATCGGTAGTTGTTTTTTTCACAACCGTCAATCAGTATTTCACTAGTGCCCAGATGTAGCGCTTTGATCAAACAAAAGTGACATTGATCGCACTATTACAATACAATTGATTTTGACGGGAGCAAATTAAAACTCTATCGAACGATGTTTTATAATATAATGGAGGTCAAGAAAATAGAGATCTGTAATTTAAAAGACGGCTTTAATTTTTTAAAAAAAGATGCAGACGAGAGAAATCATATCAGAATACACAAAAATGATAAAACTCTTGCTTACAATCCTTGCAACATCCTGTGGAAAGATCTTTTTCTGCTTTTAGGAGATTAAAAACTTATCTACGTTCTACGATGCTTCCAATTTTGTTAAATAGTACGGCTGTTCTGCATATTCATTCAGATGTTATACAAAATTTTAATTTAGAAGCTATAATGGATGAATTTATAAGCAGCAACAAAATCTGTTATTTCATATTTGCATGTTCTATATGATTACATTTATTACATATATAAAATATATATACCACATATAAAATATGTATGCTATACATAAAAAATATATATTACAAATGTATATATAAAAAATAAAAATATATGTGCAACAGTTTTCATGCAATCACGAGACACTTTTCTTTTGGTTGTCCGTCCGACTTTGCCTATCTTCGCAAACACTACATTTGGCACAATTCTAAGTCGACGCCCCTGGCCGTTCTCATTATGATCCTCAACATCGGCGCCCACATCTAGTAAGACGCATACCACTCCTCCGTGTCCACCAGCGAATCCGTATATAAGGGGTGTCTTACACGATGCAGATCGAGCATTAACATAAGCAATTAACAAAGACACAATGTCTACATTCAGGACGTTCGCTGCTTTTATCAAACGTGTACAACCGATCTCATTGCAAAACTCGACATTTGCTCCAAAGTCTATTAAGATACGTACAACCTCTTCATGTCCACCGGCGCATCCGTATATGAGAGCTGTGTCATTTGATGTAGATTGAGCATTAATATCAGCTCCATGAGCTATCAGCAACGACACAATATTTACATGCCCAGTACTTGCTGCTTCCATTAAAGGTGTACGACCATTTTCATTGTAATCCTCAACATTAGCTCCCCAATCTAATAAGATACGTACAATTTCTTCGTGTCCATTAACGCATCCATACATGAGAGGTGTGTTATTTGACGTAGACAGAGTATTAATATCAGCTCCGTGAGTAATCAGCAGAGATACAATATCTACATGTCCGGCGCTTGCTGCTTCCATTAGAGGAGTATGACCGTCTTCATTGTGATCTTCAACATCAGCACCTGAGTCTAATAAAATACGTACCACTTCTTCATGTCCACCAGCGCATCCGTATATGAGGGGTGTGTTACACGATGCAGATCGAGCATTAACATCGGCTCCATGTGCAATTAACAAAGACACGATGTTTACATTCCCGGCACTCGCTGCTTCTATCAGAGGTGTACAACCGATCTTATTGTAAAACTCGACATTCGCTCCAAAGTCTATTAAGATACGTACAACCTCTTCATGTCCACCGGCGCATCCGTATATGAGAGGTGTGTCACTTGATGTGGATTGGGCATTAATATAAGCTCCGTAAGCTATCAGCAACGACACGATATTTACATGCCCGGTACTTGCTGCTTCCATTAAAGGTGTACGACCATTTTCATTGTAATCCTCAAAATTAGCTCCCCTACATAATAAGATATGTACAACTTCTTCATGTCCATTAATGCATCCATACATGAGAGGTGTGTTATTTGACGTAGACAGAGTATTAATATTAGCTCCGTGAATAATCAGCAGAGATACAATATCTACATGTCCGGCGCTTGCTGCTTCCATTAGAGGAGTATGACCGTCTTCATTGTGATCTTCAACATCAGCACCTGAGTCTAATAAAATACGTACCACTTCTTCATGTCCACCAGCGCATCCGTATATGAGGGGTGTGTTACACGATGCAGATCGAGCATTAACATCGGCTCCATGAGCAATTAACAAAGACACGATGTCTACATTCCCGGCGCTCGCTGCTTTTATCAGAGGTGTACAACCGGTCTCATTGCAAAACTCGACATTCGCTCCAAAGTCTATTAAGATACGTACAACCTCTTCATGTCCACCAGCGCATCCGTATATGAGAGGTGTGTCACTTGATGTAGATTGTGCATTAATATTAGCTCCGTGAGCAATCAGCAGAGATACAATATCAACATGTCCGGCGCTTGCTGCTTCCATTAGAGAAGTATGACCATCTTCATTGTGATCTTCAACATCAGCACCTGAGTCTAATAAAATACGTACAATTTCTTTGTATCCACTGGCGCACCCATATATCAGAGGTGTGTTACATGATGCAGATCGAGTATTAACATCGATCCTGTGAGTAATCAAACACGATACGGTATCCACGTGCCCCGTACTAGTAGCTTCCATTAAAGTGGTGCGGGTGCCATCGAAGTCCATCTTGATGTCACAATTTTCTATATTCATCATAGCATTCATCGTCAGAAGTATCTGAGCCAGCAAATTGCAAAATTGTACAGGAATTGATTAAAACCTAAAATGCCGTTACGCTAGATTATGCTGCGCTGCACCTGAAGTAATGGCGGTGTCTAAGAAAGCGTCCTGATCACGGAGTAAAAGAAGGAGACCAAACTCGAGGATGAAAATGGGTTCGAAACACTACGTTGGAAAACCAATGGAAAATTGGGACGATGCGATTTTAGTGCCGTTGCGGGAAATCTAGGAAATATATACCACACGATAACGCTTATGGCCCCGGCACACCAGCGCGATGTTCGTCGCGCGCGACACGCGATATCCAATGAGAGTATACATTTAGAATGAGAAGATCGGTAAAGCTGTACACTCATTGGATATCGCGTGTCGCGCGCGACGAACATCGCGTTGGTGTGCCGGAGACATTACGGAATACACATGTATGCACGTTTTATTTTTAATACAGAAATTCCAATTTGTATAAAATTTAATTTTATTTCATTAAATGACAAATGCATCAATATTTATTAAATATTATAAAAAACTGTCAATTTATAGGAATTGATAAATATTTTTCATTCCATTTTCCTGTAATTCTGCAATTTGTGTATTTTTGAGAGTAGAATATATTCTGAGAAGGAAAATTGTCGTTCAAGTCTCGTTTTTATTCTTTTTAATTTCAAAGGTTTTTAATGTCGGTAAGTTAGAAAACAATAATTTAATGATAATTTATGACTATGCATAAATGTATGTATTTTTAAATAAATATTGATGCATTTGTCATTTAATGAAATAAAATTAAATTTTATATAAATCGGAATTTCTATATTAAAAATAAAACGTGCATACATGTGTATTCCGTAAGCGTTATCGTGTGGTATATTTTCTAGATTTCCCGCAACGGCACTAAAATCGCATCGTCCCGATTTTCCATTGGTTTTCCGACATCGTGTTTCGAGCCTATTTTCATCATCGAGTTTGGTCTCCTTTTTATTCCATGATCAGACGCTTTCTTAGGCACCGCCATTACTTCAGATGCAGCGTAGCATAATCTAGCGAAACGAAATTTTGTGTTTCAATCAATTCCTGCACAATTTTGTAATTTGTTGGCTCAGGTACTTCTGATGATGAACGCTACGATGAATATACAAGATTGTGACATCAAGATGGACTTCGATGGCACCCGCACCCCTTTGATGGAAGCTGCTAGTGCGGGGCACGTGGATATCGTATCGTGGTTGATTACTCACGGGGCCGATGTTAATACTCGATCTGCATCATGTAACACACCTCTGATATATGGATGTTCCAGTGGACACAAAGAAATTGTACGTATTTTATTAGACTCAGGTGCTGATGTTGAAGATCACAATGAAGACGGTCATACTCCTCTAATGGAAGCAGCAAGCGCCGGACATGTAGATATTGTATCTCTGCTGATTACTCACGGAGCTGATATTAATACTCTGTCTACGTCAAATAACACACCTCTCATGTATGGATGCATTAACGGACATGAAGAAGTTGTACGTATCTTATTAGATTGGGGAGCTAATGTTGAGGATTACAATGAAAATGGTCGCACACCTTTAATGGAAGCAGCAAGTACCGGGCATGTAAATATTGTGTCGTTGCTGATAGCTCACGGAGCTGATATTAATGCTCAATCTACATCAAATGACACACCTCTTATATACGGATGCGCCGGTGGACATGAAGAGATTGTACGTATCTTAATAGACTTTGGAGCGAATGTCGAGTTTTGCAATGAGATCGGTTGTACACCTCTGATAAAAGCAGCGAGCGCCGGGAATGTAGACATCGTGTCTTTGTTAATTGCTCATGGAGCCGATGTTAATGCTCGATCTGCATCGTGTAACACACCCCTCATATACGGATGCGCTGGTGGACATGAAGAAGTGGTACGCGTTTTACTAGACGCGGGCGCCGATGTTGAGGATCATAATGAGAATGGCCATACATCTCTAATGGAAGCAGCAAGCATTGGGAATGTAAATATCGTGTCTTTACTGATTGCTTATGGGACTAATGTTCATGTTCGGTCTACATCATGTAACACATCTCTCATGTATGGATGCGTCGGTGGACACGAAGAAGTACGTACCTTAATAGATTCGGAGGTCAATGTCGAGGAGCACAATGAGATCGGTTATACACCTCTGATGAATGCAGCAAGCGCCGGGCATATTCAAGTCGCCAAGGTCCTGCTTGAACACAACGGCATCTACAGACGGTCTAATAAATTGGAAAAGACACCATTGACGTTGGCCTGTTTTAACGGACATTTAGAAATGGTCCGTTTATTGCTAGAAACTCGTACGGATCAAGAGCATAAATCCCAGGAGATGCATATCGCTCTTATCGAGGCATCAATAAACGGTCATATAAAAGTGGCTCGTTTACTTTTAGATTCAGGTGCCCAAGTAACAATGACTGATAGTTCCGAAACGCCATTAACGTTCGCTGCTAGCAAAAATCTTGTGGACTTGGCTCAGCTCTTGATCGAGCGTGGAACAAACATCGAGGAAGTTAATGACGAAGGTTATACGCCATTGATGCAAGCAGCGCTTGAAGATAATGAAGAAATGGTCACATTACTTTTGAATGAAGGTGCAAACATCAACGCTCAAAATAAAGAAACTAAGGAAACGGCGCTTGTCCTGGCTTGTGAAAATGGTTATTTAGGAACAGTCGATCTTTTAACCAAGGCGGGAGCGGATATTGAGCTTGGTGCAGACACCCCTCTGATGGAGGCTGCGGCGGAAGGATACTTAGATCTTGTTCAATATTTACTGGAATCTGGAGCGGATGTTCACGCTCACAATCAGATGCTAGAAGAGGAGAGCCAGGAATCTTATACGGCATTCACGATCGCGTGCAAAAACGGTCACCTTGCTGTTGCTGGCCTTTTATTGCAATTTGGCGCCGATCTAAGACATTTTTTTCCAAATTATCTGGACGAAGAACATAACCGGACAGCATGCAATATTATATGAAACTTTGTTTCATATTTATTTCTTTATCGGAATGTCTGTGAATTTTGTAAGACATCCATTAGTATTTTTATACATTTTCGGATACTCTTCAATGACCTTAAAACGAACACTTTTGTATTATCCATATAGTACGTGACATGAACATATAGCAAATTGAACACGGCAAAGTGTATTAGTGGAATAGGCCTATAGGGGAAACCACTAAAGAAAAAAAAACGCGTCAACAATAGTACCTCGTGGGTGACGTGGAAATCTATTGTAATTGTAATTATACAAAGTTAAGATTACTTTGTACAATTATAATTTGTATTGCAAACATTACCAATCATTGAATAATCTAAAAACCGGTTTTTTAATTATTCATGGTAATGTTTGGGATATGGTGCTTTGTAGTCGTGGTGAGCGTCCTTATTTTTGGGATAATTAATTATATTCTTAAAGTTTTTTGATAAATTAGTTTCCATATTCTCTAATTTGACTTTTTTTATATTTCCCTTCTTCTTAATTTTCCTTTTCTTTCTTTTTTGTTTAATTCTAGCATTTAAATTTTCGATGTAGGGGAGCTCATCATCCCAGACAGCACAGTAACGTTTTAAAAATGTATTTAAAACGTACACGTTGAACGTTTTGGACATATTAAAAACATCCAGATTAGATCCATGCATATTTTAAAAACGTTTCAAAGACATCCATTGTTACCATTTTAGATTTTTTAAAAACGTCCATTTTAGGTCGCAATGGACTAAAACCGGACTAAATTAATATATTAAACAAATTTTGGACTACATTCAAGACAAAATGATTATTATATGAGTATTATTATTGATTAATATCTTATTCTAGAATACACATCATATTAAAATTATGACAAAAAAACAAAATTTTTCTCTGAATTCGGGAACTGATTTCATAGTGTTTCGAAACGGTCACCCATTCTGTTGCATACCGCCATCCATTATCCTTGACTTCTAAAATCGTATGGAAACCGCTGCACTTCGATGATCCACGAACACCTATATAATTATGGGTGTATAGTCATGATACATTTGTTCAATATGATCCTGATAAAATTTGTGCAGTTCAATTTAACATCCAATTACTGTGTAATATTTAATCTTAATGTTATAACGACTATTTTCAGGTTAGGAAATCATACGCTCTACTTTCACAGTACCAGTTATCATGTATATCGTCTCGATTAGAAATCTCCACAGTCTCTCTCTTGTCGATAATAGTACCCCGTATTGATATGGTACGGGTTATATACCATGATGTACCTAAACAGTATTATGCAGTATAGATTTTTTGTCGTTGAAAATTTTTAACACAGCACAGATGTCCTAGAGACGTCCATGAGACGTTCAAAAGACGTCTGTACGTACTAACAAAAGTGAAACTCCTCGTGCAATCTTTAAAAAATTTTCACTTGTTAAGTCAGTGAAAGCAACACGTCGCGAGCAGATTTAGAAAATTTTTTGCACGAGATGAACATTTTTTAAATGCCCAAATGTGAACATTCTTTGTACGTTGAATAACGTACGCTTTTGAAATATTCATACTAAGTCCATGGACGTTCGGACTAAATAAAAACCAGATTTGGACGTCCGATGGACGTTGTGTGCTGTCTGGGATGACAGGATAAAGCCCAAGACACAATGCGAGGCAATAGCGATAGCGATAGCGATAGCGATAGGAACAGAGGAATCCAACATACGGGAATCCATATGTCAATGCACATGGGAACATGGAATAGCGATAGCGATAGCGATAATGATAAATTTCCGACGAGTTGGAATTCTGTGTCTATCACCTTATAGCCTACCAGAGTTCAGATTTTTCATTCTGTTTATTTACGCTATAACCTCTTTTCACGATATATGTTAATATCCGTTCAATTCCAGTTTCGACTCCTAGTTTGATTGTGATAAACTTAAAAAATTGATCATTTCAATTATTGTAATAATAATTACCATACGGATAGTACATTATCGATAGTACATTATGACATACAAGACATCAATGATAACTATAAAGTGGGCGATAATGAAAAATTTGGTGATAAACTTTTAATCGATCTGCTTAAAAAATACTTAATTGAAGGCAATTTTTGTCCTGTAATAACTTAATGTGACTTAACGTTTTTAAGTTACATCTACTGAAGCAGAAGAGTATACTACAGTATGTACGCGATCTAATTGGTTGGCCTTTATTTCTTTCGCCGCATTGTGCAACGGGAGGCGATAGTTTATATATCTCTTATTTCTATCGCTATACTATCGCTATATTATTTCTATCGCTATACTATTGCCTCGCATTGTGTTTAAAGGGCTGCCTGGTAAGCGCCCCGTGCCCCGCACACTGCCGCGAGCCACCAAACGTCATAACTGGAATGTGCAGGCATCCCGCATCCGAGTACTTCTACCGCCATTTAGTGCCAAACAGTGTATCCGTACATTTTTCCTCTATCGACGACGTTAATAAAAATCAAAGATTTCAAATTTTGCATCGCTATATCTCCGCTCGTAGGGCACGTAGAGAAAAAATAAAAACACTTTCATTATATATTTAGATCGGATGCAATCGATTGAGCACATTTAGAACTTGATCAGTTCAGCCCTTATTGAGATCCAATTATCTCAATTCCTAGTAACTCAATCCCTAGTAACTCGCCGGCTCGCGTAAACTGTAAAGTAGCCACGGTAGTGTTGCTGCGCGTAGCTTAGCGCCGAGACACTACCAGTATCTCCAGATAACGGCATTAACTGTAAATAGATAAATTTGTAGATTGGTAGATAGATAAATTTGCGAAAAGATATATAAACTTTTGAAATAATTAAAATAAAAGTATAATTATTACTTGCATATTTTTCTGTGTATAAGTACACGATTGTAATTTTTATACACGGCTACAGGTTATAAAAAATTTGTACGTAATATCATTTAACATCAACATTTATATTAACATTATGCATATTTTTATATATGAATTATCTACTGTATTACCTAATGTACCATAATATAATTTGTAGATCGTTGTTGGTAAATGTGCTTATAAATGTAAATATTCGATAGTTTTGATATTTATAATAATAAAAATATAAATAATTAAGAAATTCTAAACGTCATATAAATAATTTTCTTAACTAATAACTTCAACAGTTTTTAACACATTAACTCTTGAGATATTTCTCAATATTCATATGTACATACGTACATAAATCGGTAGTTTAGATATATTAAATTATTGTATGAAATCAAATGAGTTACGATATATGTATAATTTTTGTTTTAAACATGAACATTTCCTAGCTTACACATCATTTGACATTGTTAAATGGTCAAAAGCAAAATACAGCTCTATAAAATGTTATAATTTAGATATACTAATTTTATTATAATTTTAAATTATTTCGATTGTACAAAATAAATTAACGAATCTTGCTTCTCTGTCTCTTCAACATCTCTTTCTTTCGAATATGTATCTGACCTCTGTCTATTTTCACTATTTTCCATCGCATCCTACAAAATATATTAAATATTTATAATAACCTATCTACATCTAGATAATGGCATAAATTATCTTTAATCATGATAAATAGTTATTTTATGCAATCGCACATATATCTGATGTGATTGTACAAAAGTTGAGAAAAGGCGTAGATATTATAATTCAATAAATGTAATCACACGTATAATTATAAAAAATAATGTCGTACGTTTAAGTATAAAATTGCTATTTACTTTTAGATTTAGGAATTTATTATCGATAGGATTAACGTATTCGTGCTGTCCAGGAGATAAGCCTGTAACTATTGAGTTGAGTGTTACCTCGACCTCGTCGCTTCGATCGTATGACGGATTATGAAAGTGAATGCTGCTGCAACTATTAAAAATCACTGTACAATTTTTACATAAAAATAATATTTTATATTACTCTTTTAACGATCAATTTCTATTTAAATTCAATATTAAAATAAATTTGGAACGTACCTAAGATTGTTTATCGGTTTTGATTTTAATCTGTTTTTCTGATAGTAGTAGTAAACGTATAATAACAGAACAATAATTAGTAATATAATTATTATTAGGCTATAAGCACCACCTGTATACCGTACATTTCTCGTTGGATTTTTAAATGATATCCGCCCATTATTCATATTTATTGTACAAGTACTATTGGATTCTATCGATTCGCCATTTGAACAAATACATGTTGCATTTTCCTTCTTCAAAACACACATATAGTCACAATACTTTTCTTCGCAAGGATTTTTATCTATCGAATAACTTAATATTACTTAATAACTCTCTCAAGATTAGTATACATGATAAGATTTCAAGATAGCTAGAATCTTTAAATAGTATATTATACCAACCAACGGGTTGTCTGGAAATATGAAGAATAGCAAACTGTTTGTGAACATTGTTTTTGCCTATATTTATTGTTTTGCATGATTTTTTACCATACAGTTTACAACTTCGCAGTTGACCGCTTGTATCCATCAGCCAATAAAGTGATTGTTCATAAATACTGATACTAAACGGGTAATGCATCTAAAAAGAGAAAGAATATTATTTTAAAGAAAGAAAAAGATTAAATTTATTCACGCAAAGTTCTTGTATTTTCTCAATATGTTTTTGTGTGAAAAAATGAATTTATCAACGTACATTTGTTCTTAAAAACATGCTACGTTGGCTTCCATCCAGATTGGATGATTCAATAGTTTTATTGAAACTGTCTGACCAGTATAATTTAGATTTTATATGATCAATTGCTATTCCGTTCACAAAGCTTACATCGGAACCAATAATTTTCATGTCGGCGCCCATCATGTCTGTCCGATATATTTTGGTAAATGGCACATCTATTTGCCACGTTATTTGAGCCCAGAATAGCCATCTATAACATAAAAAACGATTTTGAATTTTGTTCTTAAACATACTCTAACGACGATATTATTAATGTCAAATTGATAAGTTTAATACACAAAAAAACAAGA